TTGCACCCACTCCTCCTTTCCTGCTGGAGCACGTGAATGTTTCCACTGACCATGTAATGTAACTTCTACTCGACCTAGACCTGTATTCCTCGCCGGGTCCCGATGGTTTACACCCATTGTTCCTTAAGACCGTGGCCGGACACATTGCCGCTCCTGTATGTCAAATTTTCCGTCGTTCCCTTGAGGTCGGGCAGCTTCCTACTGCTTGGAAGATGGGAACGGTTAAACCCATTTACAAAGGAGGGGACCGACAGAATCCAGCCAGCTATCGTCCCATATGTTTGACTTCGATTTTGTGCAAAGTTATGGAACGGATTCTGAAACGGGCCCTTCGCCTACATCTCGATGAGTTGGAGTTTCTATCTCATGCCCAACATGGCTTCCGAAGGGCGCGTTCATGTGCTACAAATTTCCTGGTAGCTAGAGAAAAATGGGCAAGATCCTTAGATGCCGGTAAGCGTCTGGATGCTGTGTTTGTCGATTTCAGTAAGGCTTTCGACAAGGTCCCACATGAGCGGCTCCTCTTCAAACTCCGGGGAATCGGCGTCACTGGCAATTTTCTTTCATGGGTCTCCGATTTCCTGCAAGGTCGCTTCATGCAGGTCAAAGTTAACGAAGCGCTTTCTGATCAAATTCTCATGACTAGTGGGGTCCCCCAGGGTTCTGTACTCGGACCCGAACTCTTCAATATCTTCATCAACGACCTGCCATCCGAACTGCAGACCGACTGCTTAATCTACGCGGATGATCTGAAGCTGTGGATTGAGGTTTCCAGTCTGGAAGACGCAGACATACTTCAAGCGACACTCGATCAGCTCCACGACTGGTCACTAAAGTGGCAGTTGCCCATTAACCATGACAAATGCGCTATCCTTCCAATCGTTGCTCCTGAGCCTTTTGGGGCTTACCATATCGGGGGTTTCCTGCTCAGAAATGTCAACCAAGAGAGGGACCTTGGGGTGATTGTGTCTCCTGTTCTCAAATCAATGGAGGACACCCGGAGGAGGGTCGCATCCGCATACACAATACTTCACGCTACACGGAGAGCCTTTTAACGCCTGACCCCAGCACTCTTCAGATTGCTGTTTGCTTCTCATGTACGCCCAGTTCTCGAGTACGGATTGCCTGCTGCGTACCCGCTCACTAAGTCCGAACGTGACATGATCGAGAAGGTTCAACGGCGTGGATCCAAATCCGTTCCAGAGCTTCGGGACTTATCCTACCTCCTCCGGCTACAACGGTTGAACCTGTTTTCTTAGGATTATCGTCGTCGCCGCGGAGATATCATATTTACCCGGCGTATTCTACGAGGTGAGCTGGGGAGTGAGCTGCAATCGTTCTTTTGTCTAAACACAAGTGGTGCAACTCGAGGCCACCGGTGGAAACTTTTCAAACCGCGGCGACTCCGTGTACAGTCCGATCTGGCCCTATCCACCCGGGTAGTGAATGACTGGAACAGCTTGCCAGAAGCTGTCGTCGATGCGGAGACTGAGGAATGTTTCAAACGACGGTTGGATACCCACTCTCTGAGTGCGCAGGGATTCTGCTGCCCACAATGCAACCATAGCGATCTTCTGCTGAACCTTGTTCCGCAATGATCCCAGCAACCCTCGCAATGTCCGGGAAGTGACGGAGCTGACAAAGGAACTTCCTTCTGCTCTCTACTAACCAATGAACCAATACCGCCAGATTCGTCAGTTACTGGTATATTGCAGCTTGGGCCGCCACTAAGTGCCATAACCTCAGAATCCGAGCCATCAGGAACAACAGCCTCGGTGCATTGCGAGGCTGACATAGTGGAACACAGAGTGGTGATAACACGTATGCAATAGTTAAACGACATCAAAAAAGGCAAAAACGGGGTTAAAACTGGGAAAAACTGGAAAAATTACCAGTAGGCGCAGAAGACGCTTTGACAAGAACCGCTTTAATCGATCCAACATATCTGGGATCACAGTAAATTTGACAACAGTCAAATTTCGTTTCAAGTCTTTATTCAACCACTGCTTTTCCACGTTATTGCAACTAAAAATCTCCATCAGTATGGCACGCCAAAACGAATAGTTACCGCGTAGCACTGTCTTGTCTCTGGCAGAAATATATCGCAGTGATCACCGGTTTGCAGATTCATTCGCATTTACATGCGTTAGCAGCCCTGTTACATTAATATTAACTTACTGTTTGCCACGCAATTCTGAACGTCAACAATGTACGCAACCGTACAGCATGTAGCCGTTGGCGTCCCCATCCAGCAAGTGTTTGCGCCTTCCACGCTGGAAAAGCATGTCAACAATTTAAACTGAAGACGTCCGATTACCTCATCCATGTCTTCAACACTTCCATGCTTCCTAATAACCAAAGATCTGAACAGCTCACCATCATTCACAGCCATAGCGATAGCAGAAAAACCACTATGGCCACCGAAATATTATAACAACTATCACACATATGTACCCTTACCGGTAACACTTCCGATGGCATCATAATTAACACACAAACCATTTCTCCACACACCACTCAGCTATTTCCACCTATTGCACATTCATCCTCCTTGGCAACGTCGCTAGGTAACCACGGTTGCCTATGGGCGGCCACTGCGTCTTACCTCATACGTACTGCTGCTCTGGAGCTATATTGTACATTTCTAGGTCAATAAACTAAATTTAAATTAAACTTTTATCTTCTTGATGTTGCGCCAGGCACGCCAACAACGCATGATAAAATATGTGCAATCAAACCTGCAGGAACCAAAGGGGACCAACATTGGTCTTAACATCGGAACTTGTAGGAAGTGATGTAAGGTTGTGGTAACAGTTGACCCTACAGTTGATTCAGTGTTGAAACAGGTTGTTGATGCAAAATTAAAAATTGTTGATACGCACCTTATGTGATACTGGAATCTGTTCCAAGTAAATGTGCTGGCCTGAGCCGGTTCTCGTGCCCTGTTACTGTCAGTCAGCTGTTATCCACTTCCAATTTTTAAGCTTATCGTTCTTTTCCTGTGGCCGGGTTGGGTTTCAATCTCGCTCTTTCAAGCGAATTGTTCTTTGCAAGCGTAATTGTCGGAATTGCTTATTATGGACCAATCAGCCGATGAAGAATTGAGCCAGTCCAGTGCAAGTACCTGTGGGAACATTGGAGAGTGACGCAACGGACAAGAGCAAGCCAAGGAGAATTACAATAAAAATGCATATGAGAAAACGAATGGAATGCAACAAAATGCTGTGACTTGAAGCGCCACGCATATTGTTGGTTTGGCTTTATATGTCATATGAAGTTGTTATAAGTGTGAATACGGGGCAAGCAAACCTGGAGCTTCGAGTTGGGGCTGGTGACCCGTTTACAGCTTTTACTGTTATCGTGTTGCGTGCTCGTGGTCATCCAGTCTAACCTCCTTGCGACTTGTTAGTAGCACAGGCAAGTTATGGGACAGAAGGCCAGTAGCAAGCTGGGCCGTGAATATGGGTAAATGTAGTGTGTACATCGGTAGCTACACGGCCATTGTCCTTCGCGGAGGTGATGGGGAGCCGGTAACAAGCGAGGTGTTAAACTAAGGCTAAGACCGGATGCGGTGGAGACGAGTAAGTTAAGTTCGTGCAAGAAAGTAGCTGGCTGCGCAGCCATTCCTCATTTTCGAGTCATGATGGAAGATTTAGCGGCCATTTAAGGCCAAGATAATAAGTCGTGGAAGGAAGTAAATAAAACGTCAGAGTCTGGATGGACACTGCGTTGAATTGCTTGTTGTAGGCGACGTTGGGTTAAACCAGAGGGTAAACGATAACCAAATTTGTGGGTTAGAGCCGGTAGCCTTTAAAGATGAAATGGGAATGATCCGCCTTCCAGGTGGCTACTCGGGGCGCATCAGTATTACCAGAGATAAACAGATAAAGATGGAAAGTAGAGAACGTCGATGTTAACCGTCCGGAGGGAGTAAATGGTAAGGATGTTTGACAAAAGGGAACTCAGATATGAGTTGAAGGGGCACAATGCCTGCAAGTAGCATGGTTGTGCGCAACGTAACAATAAAATCCTAATGGACGTCAGTGAAATGCAACAGAAATGGGTCACCGGCTATTTGGCACCCAAAAGGCGTGCCTCGCTTTGTGGAGAATAAAATATTTAATTACTTATTTATTTATTTAGTGGTGCGGTGGTTTGTGTGTCTCAGTGATCCATTGAGCTATACTGGGTGGTGCTTTTGCACCTTCAGACCCACTCATACCAGATTGGTCATTGGTTAGAGGCCAGACAAACTCAGCCTCCTGGTCCTCCAGGTTGGGGGTTGGAATGAGGGTGGCACCTTATTCCTTAAAACAGACTCCTTGTAGCCCACCGCCAAACCGGGTGCCTTGCGGCCAGCTTTTTGAAACAACGGCTTGGGTTGAGATCCCTAATCGTTCTGTTTAGGCATGGGCAACCTGAAAGTATCCTGCTCACGCAATACGATGAATCTTTCCCCAAACAAATTTATGATGCTCTGGCCACCGCAGAGAATAATCAACGGTGCCCTATCTGCTGCATTGAGCAGGTGCCGAAAATGTATACAGCAGAGTGTAGTTCAACATAGGAATGGATGAGACCCGAAGGTCATCAAGTGCTCAAAATCTGGTGGAAGAAGAAATACATCGGTCCGATAGACGGGAATGTGCACACTAAAATGAGCATGGCAGCCGATGCGCTGACACTAGCGGTACGTATACCACCATTGAACAGTTGCGCTATGGACCAAAAAGAGGCCACCCAAGAGAGGGAGACGTTAATGTAAGCTGAGATGCATAAGAGTGGAGCTGAGCGGCAACCCTCAATCGGAGACCGGAAATTTCGATTTCGGTAGGGGGTCCAATCGTACAGATAAGGAATCAGACGGAGACGGGTACCCTAAGGCTGTGGATATATGGTCCGAACTGAATGCGGAATGAGCGATGAAGGCATTATGGTGAGCTGGAAAGCTTGGTTGTGGAGCCGAGTGGCAGAACTTAAACAGAGGCCGAAAACTTCAGATTCGGTATTGAGGACTAAGCATACAGAAAACGACTCAGACGGAAACAAGCCTGAAGCGTCTGCTTTTACCATTGATCATCTTGGTCAATAGCAGCAGATGCGCTAAAGAAGAGAGGCGTTGGTTGGGGACCTATGGGCGTTTGGAGCCTGAGAGGCCGGAATGGTCCAAAAGGTTAAAAATGAGAGGCACAACTTTGAAAAGAATCTAGCGAGGACTGGGATTTTCCGCTGGCGCTATAAGTACCTAGACCACTTCTAAAGTGTTAATCTATAGACCGAAAGAGGTGCCGAGTGAGTGTGGGAGAAAATAATGTGAGCTAAAATGCTTGGTAGTGGAGCCAAGAGGCAAAACTCAATCAGTGACCGGAAATTTCATCAACGGTGGACGAGACCGAGCATACACATAATGAATCAGACGAAGAGGAGTATCGTGAGACTGTTACTCATACCAATGAGTAAATTACCTGATGGCAGCCGATGCTGCAAAGAAGAGAGGCCTAGGTTTGAGACCTATAGACATTTGGAGACTGAGAGGCCGGTCCGGTTCAAAAGGTTTACGAATGAGTGGTATAACAGCGAAGGGGATCTAGCAAGGACCATGATTTTCCGCTGGCGCTATAGGTAGCTCGACCACTATTAAGGTGTTGCTATATAGATCGAAAGGGATGCCGAATGAGGGAGGGAGAAATTATTGTGGACTAAAAAGCTTGATGGTGGATCCGAGTGGCAAAATTCAATCAGAGACCGGAAATTTCAATCTCGGTAAGCGGGACTAAGCATACAGATAATGAATCAAACGAAGACGAGTATCATGAGGCTGTTGCTTATGCCAATGAGAACGTTAGTGGACGGCATCCGATGCTGGAAAGAAGAGATGTCTTGGTTTGTGACTTATAGGCATTTGGAGCCTCTGAAACCGGGCTGGTCCAAAAGGTTTTAGAATGAGAGGCACAGTAGGCAAGAAAGCTAACGAGGCCTAGGTGGTTTCGCTGACGTAAGCTTTACCTATTCCAAAATAGATCGTTGCGATATGGACCAAAATAGAGGTCAATCAAGAGAGGGAGACGTTAATGTGAGCTGAGATGCATGATAGTGGAGCCGAGAGGCAAAACTCAATCAGAGACGGGAAATTTCAATTTCAGTAGGCTGGGCCAAGCATACAGATAATGAATCAGACAGCGACGAGTATCATGAGGCTGTTGCTTATACCATTGAGTACAGCAGTCAATGGCAAAAGGTGCCTAAATGAAGACAGTCCTTGGTTGGAGCCCTATAGGCATTTGGAGCCTTTGAGGCCGGACTAGTCCGAATTGATAAGAATGAGAGGCACAGTAGCAAAGCGAATCTAGCGAGGTCTTGACTTTTGCGCAGGCACTATGGATACTTAGGCTGCTATTTTCTGGTTGCGATAAGGACCATAAGAGTTGCCAAATATAATATACACAGTGTGAGTTTAAGTATGAGGATTGAATAGAATAGGCAATGATGAAGCTAAGGATGTAAACCTTAACGTTCTAGGAAGAACGGTAAGTGCAATATTTGGATCAAAGTGGTGGAACTCCTGAGGCAGTCTCGTCTAGGTGGGGATAGGAAAGCCAAAAGTGAGCAGACGTTCGAATGATAAGTTGTTAGAAACAGCTGTGCTGCGAGGATAAAATGAAGTAGGAGACTGTTGGAAATGAAATATAAAAATATGGATGTAGGCTAATTCGCTAAAGATTGTTTGGTTCTGTTTCCCATAGATCGTATTCCGGCAATTTTAGGCTTAATAGTTCGGAGACTGTGTTTACGTTGAGGAAGCTACTTATAGCATTGTTGAAA